GATCCTGCCTGGCACAGGTCCGCCAGATGGCCGTTCCCATTGGCCAGCGCTGCTTCGCGTTCAGACGCGAGGTATTCGCGCAGCGCTGGTTCAATGACCACCTGGGTTTGTTCGACCTGTGCGGGGGAGTTGGCGGTGAGGTTGACTGCATCGGTGCGGGGTCTCCTTACTGTAGGCTGCGACAGAGGCGACATCGATTCATTCCGAATCCTCTTCCTGCTTGTCATCGGATCTGGAGTGATTGGCGATAGTGCGGACGCAACCGCGGAGGAGCACTCACCCTCTTTTACATCGTCGCGAGCTGTTGGTGGCGTCGATGTCGCTGCCTGATGGTCGATCTTCTCGTTCGTTGGGCAGGTGGGCGGCTCACAGGGCACACTGGGAGAAGGGATTGGTTGCTGTTTCTTCTAGCGGCATCGAGGTATTGCTTATAGATGGGTTTATCTCTTCGATGCCGTATTTGGTCCTTCGTCAGACCTGATTCGGCAACCATTTTCGCCATAAAGGGGCCTTTATGTGACTGGATCTCGATGTTTGCCAGTATATCATAGATTTCGGAATCAGGCCTTCGTAGTTCCCTCCTCCTGCTGTCGTTTTCTGCTTCGGGGTGTGCCCTCTGCTCGTGAAGCCGCACCCCTGTGTATGTAGTAAAACCTGCTTTGCAATATTGGCATTTAGTTCGATCGCGCTTGCCACATGTTAGGAGATGTTTGTTGAGGCCACTTTTTGTCTCATAGGGCCTCTCGCATATTTGACACCTGTATGGTGCTGCATTGGCAGGCTGCAGGGTCACCGTATTACTGGGCCCTGGTATTGGAGAAACGGTATTCGAGCCTGCCAATTTGGTTCCGGTGGCTGTTGGGCCACCGGCAGTCGATTTTCCACCCGCTGGAGGGGATTTAACTGGTTCCCCCTCATTTATATCGAATTTCCTCTTGCGGGTGGGGTGACGTGACGTCATGTCACGTGTTCTAACTCTCTCTGCCGCAACAGCGGTTTTAAATGTCTTCCTCTTGGAATCCGCCATTGCGCATGCGCCGCCGCCGTTGAGTGTCTTTGGGTAGGTTAAAGCACTGTCCTTTCCGCGTATGGGAGTGAAGACCGTTTGCCGCTACGTGGTCTGGTTCCGGAGATATCGCGTGTGAAAGATTTTATCTCCGGAACTACCTCCTCCCAGCTCCTGGTCTCCTGATACCTGGCCGCACTTAATACGGCCAGTACGGCGTTAACTGTCGAGTTATGGAGCTGAGATTTGGTGTGTGTCCTTGGGGCCGGTAGATGATTGATTGGACGCCTTTTTGGCCCCGTCGGACACGATGTACTTGCCAAAAGGGCACTAGCGGCTTGACGCCGGAAACCGGCGTTGCGGGGGGCAATCGAGCTGGTGTGATATTCTATTAGATGCGCGATGCCCCAAAGACAATATGGGGCCCGCGGCTTGTCGTGCGATTCTAACCTTTATTGTAAGATTTCTAGGTTAGAATCGCGTTGTTTCTCTAATTTTCCCTTTTTGATACCAGCCCTTGCACTCACCCCGCTGTCTTCACTCCCACGCACTAAACCCGTCACTGCACGTGTGCTGCCCGTTATTGAGGGCGCCGCGACGCGGTAGAATTTCTTGATGCGTTTATAAAAATCGCGTTGTGTCGCACACACGTGCACACTCCTCAGCGGCGGAGAAGAGAGTCATAGTTACTCCCGCCGTTTACCCGCGCTTGCTTGAATTTCTTCACGTTGACATTCAGAGCACTGGGCAGAAATCACATTGAGTCAACACCCGCAGGGGCCATCTCAATGCTTTGTTTTAATTAGACAGTCGGATTCCCCCGGTCCGTGCCAGTTCTGAGCTGACCGTTGAATGGCGGCCGAAGAGGACACCAGAACGCCCTTGCGAGCGCACTCTGGGCCTCGCAGCAAGACGGTTCCGCGGGAGGCCAAGGCACGGTACCGAGTTCGGATCCGCAATCCTACCGCACACGCGCGAACGCATACGACAGAACGTTTCACCTCGCCCAGGCCCGGCACGTCAGCCGCGACCCGCTTCCTCGCCAAGCCCGACACGCCCCGATCCTCAGAGCCAATCCTTATCCCGAAGTTACGGATCCAATTTGCCGACTTCCCTTACCTACATTATTCTATCGACTAGAGGCTCTTCACCTTGGAGACCTGCTGCGGATATGGGTACGAACCGGCGCGACACCTCCACGTGGCCCTCTCCCGAATTTTCAAGGTCCGAGGGGAAGACCAGGACACCGCTGCAACTGCGGTGCTCTTCGCATTCCAAACCATATCTCCCTGCTAGAGGATTCCATGGAACTCGAATGCTTATGCAGAAAAGAAAACTCTTCCCTGGTCTCCCGACGGCGTCTTCGGGTCTTTTTGGGTTACCCCGACGAACTCTCTTGCGAGGGCCCGACTATTGTACGGTTCCGCTGCCGGGTTTCGGAATAGGAACCGAATTCCCTTTCGCCCGACGGGCGTGTTCTTTATATATACACACATACATACATATATTTATAAAACAACGCCACATCAACATCGGCTTTCGCCTAGGGCTTAGGATCGACTGACTCGTGTGCAACGGCTGTTCACACGAAACCCTTCTCCACGTCAGTCCTCCAGGGCCTCGCTGGAGTATTTGCTACTACCACCAAGATCTGCACCGACGGCGGCTCCAGACGGCCTCACGGCCAGCCCTTCTGCGCGCACCGCCGCGACCCTCCTACTCGTCAGAGCTTCATGGCCGATCCGTTTTTACGCGGATCGAGACCGCACATGCCGCTGACGGCCGAGTATAAGCACGACGCTTCAGCGCCATCCATTTTCAGGGCTAGTAACTTCGGCAGGTGAGTTGTTACACACTCCTTGGCGGATTCCGACTTCCATGGCCACCGTCCTGCTGTCTTAAGTTACCAACGCCTTTCATGGTATCCCATAAGCGTCGATTTAGGCGCTTTAACTCGACGTTTGGTTCATCCCACAGCGCCAGTTCTGCTTACCAAAAATGGCCCACTTGGCACTCTGATTCGATTCTCGCAGCTTCATTAGTTCGAGCAAGCCGGAGATCTCACCCATTTAAAGTTTGAGAATAGGTTGAGGTCGTTTCGACCCCAATGCCTCTAATCATTCGCTTTACCGGATGAAACTCGTCACAGACGAGCGCCAGCTATCCTGAGGGAAACTTCGGAGGGAACCAGCTACTAGATGGTTCGATTAGTCTTTCGCCCCTATACCCAGTTCCGACGATCGATTTGCACGTCAGAATCGCTACGGACCTCCATCAGGGTTTCCCCTGACTTCGTCCTGACCAGGCATAGTTCACCATCTTTCGGGTCCCAGCGTGTACGCTCTTGGTGCGCCTCTTCTCGTAATGAGAACGAGACGCCCCGGGAGTGCGGAGCGGCCGCTTTATAGACGTGCCGCCCATCTTCCCTAAATCCGCGCTAGGCGGATCTTTACTTTCATTGCGCCTTTAGGTTTAGTTATGTCCCAATGACTCGCGCACATGCTAGACTCCTTGGTCCGTGTTTCAAGACGGGTCCTGAAATTACCCAAAGCTATAGCGTCGCAGATCGGCGTTTCAAACGAGGTCTGTCCGAGAAATCCGCACGACCAACAGTCGTCCGGGGACGGAACCGGGCGCTAGGTCCGATCGCCGTCTTAGCATCGAACGTGCTTGTCGTGGGTCGGACGCTAATTGAAGAAGTAGCGGCCTCGCGCCATCTGTATACCGTCGAGCGAGTCGGCCGGAACATCGCGGGTTCGAGCACGAATCGCCGAAACGATCGTACACGGACTCCACCGCGAGCCGTAGACCGACACCCAACGGATCGCGACGTCCTACTAGGGGAAAAGTGCACGCGTTCGACGCCGGATCGAAAAGCGAAAGGCGCGGACGACGCGCGAACGCCGTCCGTCGCGCGACCGCTCATCGCCGACGGCCGAAACGCGAATGAATTTCCCCTTTCGACCTTTCGGGTTTCTCAGGTTTACCCCTGAACGGTTTCACGTACTCTTGAACTCTCTCTTCAAAGTGCTTTTCAACTTTCCCTCACGGTACTTGTTCGCTATCGGTCTCGTGGTCATATTTAGCCTTAGATGGAGTTTACCACCCACTTAGGGCTGCACTCTCAAGCAACCCGACTCTGAGGAGAGATCCTCCCGCGATCGGCAGCGGCCACTACGGGCCTGGCACCCTCTATGGGCTGTGGCCCCGTTCAAGAAGGACTTGGACTCGCCGCGCGACCTCGGGATAAACGGATCCTCCCTAACACCACATTTCCCGGCGCCCGATATCGACCGCGGGATTCGGTGCTGGGCTTTTCCCTGTTCGCTCGCAGCTACTGAGGGAATCCTAGTTAGTTTCTTTTCCTCCGCTTAGTAATATGCTTAAATTCAGCGGGTAGTCTCACCTGCTCTGAGGTCGGTTAACAATATACAACACACACACCACACACAGATATATATGTCACACGCGATCGCTAATACTAAATCGTATAGCTGCTGCTGCTATACTACTACTAGTCGAAAGCGTTCTCTAGTGTTTAGCGCGTATATGCGATCAGACGTCGTTATCTCGAAAAAATAATTTCTCTCTCGGACACGACGATCGCAGCGCAAGTTCGAAACGCGTAACGACTACAGCATATATACATATATATATAATATATATATATGTAGTGCTATTACGATTTTTATCCGTACAGCGCGCGTGTTCGTTCTATGTGTGAGTTTACGATTCGTTCGTATGACGAACGAATCGTCGCTTTCGCGTTTTGAGATGCCGCGACGACGACAAAGACGACGACGTTTACGATATTACATAAATAAATATATAATAACTAGCGTCGTCGCGTCGTACCGCCGCGTCTACATCCAACACGCTCCGACGTTTCATTCTCCTCTCTCATGTCGTCGTCGTCGTCGTCGTCTCTCGGATAAAGAGATAATACGACGACGCGAACAGAGATCGGAGAGGAAACCGAGCAGTCTTTTAAATTGATACGACCCTCAGCCAGGAGTGGTCCGGGAACAGTATCCGAGGACCGCAATGTGCGTTCGAAATGTCGATGTTCATGTGTCCTGCAGTTCACAAGTTGACGCGCAATTAGCTGCGTTCTTCATCGACCCACGAGCCAAGTGATTCACCGTTCAGGGTAATCGTTTTTTAATTAGACGATCTCTATATATAAAA